GAGCTAGAGGCAGCACGACTCCTCCTGGTTTGGACGCTGATTCTCTCGGTCACCCTTCCACGATACTAGCGGTCCTCACCTTGGACATTCGCAGCACTGGAACGTGGGTTAGTCATTGCGCTAGGAACGAAGGCTTTGATACCACTCGTCACGAGTCGATTGATTTCTCAACGATCCCACAACCGTGCGGCCTTAGGATCACTCCCAAGTTAGCCTTGCATACACACTCGATTCATAAGAACGGAGAGAAAGCAGCGTAATTGTATTTCTTGCATATGAGCATGTACAAATGAAGGGGGAGTCCCCTATATATACAAGTGCGGGTCTAATATGAACCGTTGATTCCCTCATGATCCAACGGTGGTATTTGAATCGATACAATCATTACATAGCTATATAAGAAGTTCCAGAGGCCTAAGGGCGTGGGGGAGCTCAAGGGTTGTCTGCCAAGGGGAAGTTGCAGGGTCGTTTGTCAGAAGAAACTGAAGGGTCGGACAGTGCTTGCACCCGGTCACGAATGGGTCACGTCCAATGCACGGACAGGCCACATCCAATGCACGGACGGGCCACGTCTCGTTCACGGACGTGCTCGGAGCCCTTCGCCCCCTTGGGCCGTGTCAAAAGGCTGTTCCTCACATGCTATGATTCCTTTTTCCCATGATCTGAATTGGAAACTTGTAAAAAGTGCAGTTGAGACATAGTCTCCAAATATGACATTCATCTATCCCGTTTTTTCATCTGTGCCTATCAGAACGGACAATCTTAGTCAATTTCGTCAACCAAAGCCTCTTCTTGCTATCCCAGCACAAGCTCTGGCTCCACATTCATCTCAGGCTCCCATGCAAGCTCAGGCATTTGACCCTTCTTTGTGTAAGTCTTGCTGACGAATATTGGTTTATAATCAAATTTGCAACAACATAATGTAATCAAGAATGATTAGCTTCTGAATACACTTAAGTGCGACTAATAAATTGATTAGCTTCTTCAATGGTATATCATTTAATCATACTATAGGAGATCTTGGCATACATAAATTGATTGACCAATTTCTTTTGGCTAAAATGCTTAGCAGTCAGTTTTTCTCTATACTGGATTATTAAATCATTTGAGATATGAATGAAGAATCTGGTGATAAAACTAAAAGTTATACATTATGTTTCTTTCTCGCAATTCCTTTTGCATTGATGATTACGCTCTTTTTGGCATACCGGATATCTGACTAAGTAGGTTGGATATGATTGCAACAGATGAAAAGGATATAGCTTTTTTTTATTATATTTTTATTTTCAGAGCGATCTCCTAATCGTTTGGTTAAAAGATGTGGTATCTCTTGGCCAAATACTTCCTACTTTATCATTCCAAAAGCAAACAAGACAAGTGTTTTTTTACGTGCAAAGACTTGCTATCAATTCTATCAACGAAGAACTAGTAGGCTGGACACTCTGCAGTACCCAATTCATACCCCAATGTTAAAGGCTGTTCATCTCATGCTATGATATTTTACCCATGATCTCATATCAAAAGCTGTAAAAAGTGCTGAAGAGGCTTTGTCTTTCAATATGACAGTCACCGTATGTTTCATTTTTTCAATTGTACCGGCCAGAATGGAAGATCTCAGTGAATTTTCTCAACCAAAACTTCCTTAGGCTATCCCTGCTCAGGCTCTAGCTCCACCTTCAGCTCTAGCTTAGGAGCAAGCTCAGGTTTCCTGCCCTCCTTCATGTACGTCTTGACTTCTCTATTTGTCTCTCATCTTATTTTACTTGTTCTTGGAGAAAAGATCAATGTTAATAATCTTGTATAGCTTAAACGTTTACCTAACTTTGTGGTTTGTCTCACTTTGTTGTCCTTTGTTTCATTTTCCATAATATACCCTATGATGTATCCTGATTTCTACATACCATTTGGCTCAAGCTTTTTTCACATTTTAATGCATGGCCCACTGTGCTCACATAATGTACCTGTGTAGTCTCTAGTATAGTCTAAGTCACATGTCCGACAATCAATAAGAAATATGTGGATTATTATTGGCTTTAAAGCTACTCGGTAGTGAATTAACTACACACTTTGTATCTAATAATCGGAATTGATGACCTGACTTTGGTCAAGTGAAAACATAGAGCTCCTTGTGGCCTCGACCATGAATGGGACCTATTTCCTAAAATTAAGAATCAATTGTAATCTCTAGTATAGTTTAAGTCACATGTTTGACGATCAATAAGGGAAATGTGGGCCATTATTGCTTTGAGGCTACTCTGTAGTAAATTAACTACGCACTTTATATACAATGATTGGAATTGATGACCCGACTTTAGAGAAGCGAAACATAAAGCTCCTTGTTGCCTCGACCATGAATGTGACCTATTTCCTAAAAATAAGAATCAATTGTAGTCTCTAGTATAGTTTAAGTCACATGTCCAATAATCAATAAGGGAAATGTTGACCATTATTGGCTTAGCGACTACTCGGTAGTGAATTAACTACGTACTTTGTATCCAATGATCGGAATTGATGACCCGACTTTGGACAAGTGAAAATATAGAGCTCCTTGTGGCTTCGACCATGAATGAGACCTATTTCCTAAAAATATGAACCAATTGTAGTCTCTAGTATAGTTTAAATCACATGTCCGACAACAACTAATAAGGGAAATGTGGACCATTATTGGCTTTGAGGCTGCCCAGTAGTGAATTAATTACGCACTTTGTATCCAATGATCGGAATTGGTAACCCGACTTTGGACAAGTGAAAACATAGATCTCCTTATGGCCTCTACCATGAATGGGACCTATTTCCTAAAAATAACAACCAATTGTAGTCTCTAATATAGTTTAAGTCACATGTCCGACAATGAATAAGGGAAATGTCAACTAGTATTGACTTTAAGGCTACTCGGTAGTGAATTAACCACTCACCTTGTATCCAATGATCGGAATTAATGAGCCGACTTTGGAGAAGTGAAAACATAGAGTTCCTTGTGGCCTCAACCATAAATATGAACTATTTTCTAAAAATAAGAACCAATTATAGTATATAGTATAATTTAAGTCACATATCCGACAATAAATAAGGAAAATGTAGACCATTATTGGCATTGAGGCTACTCGGTAGTGAATTAACTACTCACTTTATATCCAATAATAGGAATTAGTGACTCGACTTTGGTCAAGTGAAAACATAAAGCTTCTTGTGGCCTCGATCATGAATGGGACCTATTTCCTAAAAATAAGAACTAATGTAGTTTCTAGTATAGTTTAAGTCACATGTCCGCAATGAATAAAGGAAATGTGGACAAATATTGGCTTTAAGGCTACTCGGTAGTGAATTAACTACGCACTTTGTATACAAAGATCGGAATTGATGACCCAACTTTGGACAAGTGAAAACATAGTGTTCCGTGTGGCCTCGACCATGAATGAAACCTATTTTCTAAAAATGATAACCAATTATAATCTCTAGTATAGTCTAAGTCACATGTCTGACAATGAATAAGGGAAATTTTGACCATTGTTAGCTTTGAGGCTACTCGGAGTGAATTAACTACGCACTTGGTATCCAATGATCGAGATTGAGGACTTGACTTTTGGCAAGTGAAAACATAGAGCTCATTGTGGTCTAGTATTTGTAGCAAAACTTAATATGAAATAAATATTGAAATAAAAAAATCTGTGTCTTTTTGGATAAAAGGAAAAAGGGAATTCAATGCACTACATTAATGTAAGATCTATTTTTTTATTGAAAAAAGAAAAAAAAGATTGGAAAAAATATAGCTTGTGAAAGAAGTCAAAAACCTATCCGTAGAATTTGTAAAGTTTAGAATCGTAACACATTTTTTTTTGCTAGAATATAATTGTACCACATTGATAATGCCAAAGTACTAACGACCTAATTCTTAGAAATGAAGAAAACTTAGTGTAGCCTTAATACAACGCAAACCGTCAACTTTGATAATCATATTAATGAAAATCACATTTTCCTATGTAAATCGAAAATACACTGCATTATTATATAAGCAATAGAAAGAAGCAAATTGATCCATTCCATGTATTAATCGATATTTTGTCACATTTAAAAGATTCACAGATTTATCTATGTAATTGTCGGTACCAAACACTTTTCTTCACTTACGACAACAGATTCAACTTTACTGTTACCATGAGGAAATAAATGTTAGTAAGAAATGATTAATGAGTAAAAGATGCAGATAAGGATTTGCTTCGCACAATCACTCCCAAATCTTATCAATTGCCACTTGATTTTTCAGATATTATCGATGGAACAAGAGTAGAGCCACCACTAACCTATTTTAGACCAATTATGAGCCACTTCTGCGAAGTAGAGATTCAAGGTTGGTAAACTTTATCAGGCGCTTTTACCTTACGCTTGTTATTGATAGCTTTTCGCTTTGAGATAATCATTTTCATGAAATCTTTTCGATTTTTATTCCTAATCATACAATTCTAATAACAATACATGCATAATTAAAAGCTAAAGAAGAAGTTAAGTGAATGTAAATTCAACCCAAGCCATGTTGTACAAAGAATATATAACCTTGGTATGAAGGATTGGGACCAGACTCCAGTGGACGATGAGATGCATAAGTAATTATTTGTGTTTATTAATGATTATTATTTTTCTATCATTAGTATTTAATTAATTAGGTTTTCTACCATTTTCTATATATTTTGTATTTTTTTATAGAATCCAGGGCCGTTAAACGGGTGGGTAAGGTCGATTTTGGGTAAAGTCGAAAATGCTCTAACCCATTTAACTTGTTTTGACCTATTTATATACAATACAAATTAAGTGACCCACGCCCGACCCAACTTGTATATTAAAACACATTCATATTATTCCAACCTATGAAAACCCCCACCTATTTAATATGTTCATGTGTATACATGACTTGGATAAAAATGCATATCAAGTTAAACAAGTAAATTAGCACAATAGAAAATGACAGTAAATAAGGTAAAAAACATAAATAAAAAAAAACAAACCTTGCTTTTGGCGTCCCTCGAAGCAATGCTTAATAGTAAATTCAATAATTTGGATAACACCATCAATGAAGGAGCACACCGAGTATGCAGCATAGAATTTCTTGATCTCCAAATCTTAGTCACCTAGATTCAATGAGAATAGTTACAGTTAAAGAAGAAAGGTGATCTTGATGCATTGCTATGATAACAAAGCAACCAAAGAGAATGGCCAAAGCCTGCACAATCACCTTCAAGGAAAGCACCACCAACAAGAAAACTATGAATATTTTGCAAACTCACTTGACGAAGACAAAAACATAAAACAATGCCCACAACTATGAGCCAATATATAGCTGCTGTCAGACCCTTACGTTTCCAATCCTAGCTGAAGTAGGAGGCCACTTCAATCCAATGCAGCTTAAGTATGAGGCTATCAAACCCTATCATTTAAAAGTAATTCCTCCGTAAGGAAATCAAACAATTGAATCAGCAGAATTATAAGTAATAACCGGAGTTTCATAGCAGAAATAGACAAAGGACGCATAAAAAATCATAAAAGTGTTTGCACTTAACACATTTATTTACCAAGTCTTAATCTCCACCTTGACCTACAAAAAGATATCATAACAAAAAAGTTCAAGCCACTGTTGCCAATAAATAAATAAACTTAGCAGAATGAGACCTTATTTCACCAGAAGGCATAACTTCACATCCCAACAAATCAACACGGGCCAATTGGAAGAAATCAAAACCTTTTCAGAGCTGGACGCAGATAGCTGCCTGAGAAGTGCCATGATTAGGGTTTTCTTGCCAGAGTCAAGGGGGCCGCTAAAGAGCAAATGGGTACAATCTTGTTCCGATACCTTCACACATGCAACAAAACGAATTGAGACTAGAATAATTAGAAAAACTGACGATTGTTCGAAGCTCAGGGAGCATAAGAGCACCAAAATTCAGTACAGGCGAGGATTTGAAGCACCGATTTCTTGACAGTTTGTTGCAACATCTTCGTGTAAAGCAGGGAGGCCAACGACGCCGGAGATAGATCGAAGGTCCACCGGAGATGGGCGGCGGGCAAGCCGAAGATAGGCGGTGAGGGCGCGAGTCGGACGGGTGAATTTGAAGGCAGAGAGAGACTACCGAAGAAGAAACAATGAAAATGGGCTGAACTTGAAACAATTTATTTTTACATGGGTTGAAACTAGGTTTAAAACATATCCATTGAAACCCATTTATTATGGGTCTTTCCCTTTAGGACTCATTATGATATTACATTTCAAATTTAAGATTTCGGACTCATTATGATCTTACATTTCAAATTTAAGATGGTCCATTTATATAACTCACTTCAATAAATGTGGGTTAAAATATGGGCTAATGACCCATCTTGACGGCCCTATTTACACTTGAAATTCCGCAAGTTCGAAGGTGAGAACATTGCGGTGAAACCAAGATTTGTAGGACTGTTAGGCTGCGTTTGGTCGCTTGGATTTATAGCTAAGATAGAATTAGATATGATAGGATATGAAATCCAAGGAATTTGCTATATCCTATCTGCTGTTTGGCGAATCGCAATAATAAAGTCAGATATTTTTACATATTACCATGTCCATTATTTGTTATGAACAACATGTCAGTGTAAATGAACCTGAAAATTGTACAAACAGTCGGACAATACAGTTTCTATATGTGTCATTGGATACAAATCCATTAATTGTAATAGTTGCATTTGTCGCGACCTACCCGTCCCGATTGGGCTAGGCCAAGAGGTATTTGTCGATGGACGTGAACAACGATTGATTCGTTTGAAGGACAAACCAAATGATTCATTAATCCAAAAACCAAGGTACTCTCAAGCCTCATACCTCGCGTGACGAGAATTTTCTAATTTATGCATTCGATTGGAGTCGTCACTAGCAATAATCAAAGGTTGGCTAGAAACCCTAACCGAGACGCGAGAGTGTCGTCTCGATATGCGCGAAAATCAGAGATTCTAAAGGATCGAGGACTTGATTACACTAACGATCTAACTAGTGCCCTTTCGGTACCTACACTTGAATATTTGCAAAATAACGTACCGGGTAGCCTATCGAGAAGCCTAAAGCTTGTCCTAACCATGCTAGAAATGGAAAATAAAAATCAATGTATTTAAAGTGCGCAACCAGATAATCATGAAGAAAATAAACAACCAACGACCTAGCATCGTCTCTAGAAAGGAAAAGGCAATCAAAAGCCGTAAGGTAAAGCTCTAGTGTCTTGTCCGATTTTTTTTTGAAATTTTTTTTTAAAGGGTTTTCTCAATTCTCACGAATTTTAAACTAAGCCCAGAATAAAATTAAATACTAAGATCTAGTGAAATTAAACCCAAAAACTGATTTCTAAACATTTCCTAATTTTCTGGATTTTTTTTAATTTTTCCGATTTTTTTGAATTTTCTTTTGAATTTTTTAATTTTCTGTATTTTTAATTTTTTTAAATGTTTTTCAGACTTTTTAATATTTTTTGGATTTTTAAACATTTTCGAATTTTTTTGGAATTTTTAATATTTTTTAATATGTTAATATTTTTATTAATAAAATAAAAATTCCGGACCGGGTCCCCTGACCCGATCCGCTCGACTACTGACCCGGTTACCTGACCCGCCCGGGATCCGTTTTTCCTATTTCTTTTCTAATTTTTTTAAATTTATTCCTCATTTCTTTTTCTTTTTTTCTATTCCTGCGTGTCCAGAAGAACGCCTTCTCTTTCTGGGTGTCCTCTTCACCGAGAGCTTCATCACTGAGGCCACGCCGGGGTTTCGCCGGGAACGCCCGCCGCCGGCCGTCGGCTCGGGCCGCCAGCGCCGACGGCGGACGCTGACCTTACGCCGTCGCCGCCGGCCGACGTTCCGGCGACCATACCGGCGACTTATTCCGACCACGGAACAAAAACTCGATTTCCCGATCCTCAAACTCTCGACCGCAACAACAAACCTTAAGACCGAACAAACAAACATAAACACACATGAAATAGATATAGAGGGCTAACGGTTGCGGCCTCAAACTGCGGGCAACGCTCCGGCGTAGGGAATGGTTTTCCGGTGGAGGTTCCGTCCATGGCCGAACAGTGATGCGCGAACGCGAGAAAGTTACGTAGAAAATGTAGACAACTTGAAGTCAGCAACAATATTAAAACGAATCGCGCATAAATCAAAGCTCTAGCGCATCCGTTTTTACAAAAACGGATTCGGCATTCGTTTGGGCATTTTATCAAACAGGTAGTGTGCGACTTGGACCATCACTCCCAAGCTTGGATTTACCATCATTCAAGGCCTAAACTTAGTATGTTAAGTGTTAACTCGAAATTTTCATCACGATTCAGGGTGGGTTTTGCGTGGTTTGCTCAGAACCTCGTCGGTTGGTTCAACGATCTTAAAAACCAGTAGGCGGAGAAAAAGAAACAGGGCATTTTCCGAGAGGTTTACCTGGTTCGGGTGACTTCTACGACGACGAACGGCGGCCAGCAGGTGGAGCTTTCGACGGGAACGTCAGCTACTCAAACGGACCACCGGCGAACGAGCAAAAATCTCTCCTTTCTCCGATTCTCTCCCGGTCTTGGCTCTCCTTCAAGCCAGCTCTCGCTTCCTCTCTCCCCTGCCGCTCGCGGCGAGCGCCGCTGCCGGCCCTAGTGCCGGTGCCTGCCCTGAACCAGCCAACCTCGGTGCCCCGTCTGGCCGGCCACCTCGCCAACCGCGGCCAGCGCGTCAAGCGGTCGCGCCCGGCTCAGGGCGCTTCCTCCCGCAAACACCATCTCCGCGGCTTTGGCTCAGGAGAGGGAAAATGTTGGACAAACGCCTCGTCGACGAAGGCTCCGGCGCAGTCAGTGGTTGTCGGAGGAACGCTCCAGCTCTCGGCCCCTTCTTCATTCTTTTCCCGTTCTGGACGTCTATCCCCTTCGTTCAAAACTCTCTCAGATGCAAGCTCTCTCTTTTTTCGCTCCTTGCTGCCCCCCCTTCCCCTCGAGTGACCCTTCCGGAAATGCTAGGAATCGGGAGAACGAGGACACCGGAACAGGGTCGTCGGACGGCGACAGTAGCCGGATGGTCGAGCGAGGTCGAGGAAGTCGACGGCGACAGTTCCGTCTCCAGAAGGAAGAAGATAAAAATGTCTTCTTGGGCTCCTCCTCCCTTGCCAGCTCATTGTCCTTCTGTTCAGCCTTATTCCCCATTTTTGTCTCTTCCTTCTTTTCTTTTTCTTTTTTCTTTTTTAATTTTTATAATGATTTTTCAACATAAAATAATAAAATGAAAATATGTTTCACTAAAATTATATTAATGCAAATGCGCCTAATATCTATATGTCATGTAATTTAATGAAAACATTTTTGTTTAGGTGTTAAAACTTGATCTCTAATTTTCTATGTACTTAAACTTTAAATGACGAGATAAAATTTAGGTGTCAACATCATTATCAGGAAGAAAACAGCGCTGATAAATATTTCAATGGGTTATTGCACTTAATTTCTTGAGATTTATTGGCGCTGAGTTGGTGAGTTCTGCCATTGGACTTGGAAGAGGAAAATCTGAAGTTAATTTGATCTCGTTTTGTTTGCAAAATCTGTTGCTTTGAGAATTTCTTTGATACCGTCCTCATATAGAGGGCGATCCGAATTCGCTCGACCATCCTTATAATTGTTCCTCTTGTCGATTTACTTCTGAAAAGCCTGAGATCCTTCAGATTTGAGTATGTTCATCGTTCGCCTTTTAGTCATCTGAGTCGCATCGTGAGATGCTTTAGTTGATTCTGGAAAACTTGAGATCCTTCTGATTTAAGTGAGATCTTCGTCCACCTTCTAGTCAACTGAGTCTCATCTCGAAGTGCTTTAGTTGATTTACTTCTGAAAAGCCCTAGATCCTTCTGATTTATGTTTGTTCTTCCTTCTTCTTTGAGTCATCTGAATCTCATGGTGAACTCATTGGCAAAGGTGCTTCTTATTAGTCTGCAACTACCATCTGCTAAATTAATCGACACTTCTTTAATTCCGCTTCATACAAATCGTTGTTTCTTCTTAAGGGAGGAGTTCTCTTTGAAGTATACTCCACATTGAATAATTCGTTGAAATATCCTTCGACAGAATGAGCTATAGTATGACAACTGATGTAAGTTGAGATCGCAAGAAGGTATGGTGCACAATATTTGCATCAAGACAATGGTTTACTTTATTTGCTTGGAAGGATTACATTCTGATTACGTATAAAATTCTATTCCAAAATCCTACACGAGTGATCCTCCCTTAACATATTCGGTGAAGGCCAATGCGACCAGTCCCAACATCGCGAACCTTCCATTCCACAATTCGGCATTGGAAGTCATCAACCCATCTGACTTTGACTCGGCCGTGACTCCTTTGAACAGCGGCACCAGAGATGCAACCGAGAGCAAAACGCTCGTCCCTATGAACCAGGGGATGCCACCTTCACTGATTTGAGCAAACAAGTCCTGGCCTTTAAACAACTCGACCGCAATGGCGGCCACAAAGCCAATCATTGCGAGTCTGCCATTGATCCTCTCCGGGACTGGCCCACTGAAGGCGAACAAATCTGTGAAGTTGGTGCTCACCTGTCAATATGATGGGGCAGCGTTAGTTTACGCAAGGAGTATTAACGTATAAGGACATAACATTAGTAGATATAGCATATACATTCTTATATACACACGACCTCTTTTGCTCACTTGTCATCCAACTAGCTTGTCAAATCTATGAGATAGAAAAAGTGACCTATAATGTGCTGACAAGTAATCATGTCACGATAATACGTGACTACTGCACTTGGCACAAAATTTAATCAGCAGTGGATCACCAGATTGATAACTTCAACAATACTTAACATTTAAGAAACTTAAATCCAATACATTCAGCTCTTTGAGTAGATAACGCAATGTGTATAGGCCTCCTCAAAGCTCGTATTTATGTACCAGGGCACTCTTAAGCATAAATATACCTTTGATTTCGGTTTCAGGGATGGGTTCGGTGGAGGCGATGAAGAAGGAATTTCAGAAGCTGGTATTTCCGTGCTACCTTCCGGCTTGGTCTCCTGCAATATTCACCACACACCAATGTCTATTCAACTGACATCCCGGTATCATATTACCGGCGCAATAATCTAGATCAATCCAAATCGTGCTACTTTACCTCAGTCATACACTTTATTCGCAGGCCGCCACGGGGAGCCATCGTAGGAACATGGTTGGCAGTGAAAATCCCTCTCACAACAGATTTCCTGGAACTAATGTCGATCACAGTCCTAGGACTCGCAGGGATCAAGCGCATCAGCATCGTTGAGGCCATGATCTTCGGACAATGACTGAAAATTTTGGGAACGCTAGTAGAACAACACTCAAAGAGTTGCAATTGAACGGAATATGACTAGACTGAAGTGCTATTGTGTTGGGACTATGGAGTGAGTGGAATGAAGCGGTATTTATGGAGCACCGGGAGAGAGAGAGAGAGAGAGAGAGACTGGTGGTTGGTGTTGGTTCCACGTGATGCATGTATGTGGCGGGTTAAAATGGTTTCACCTTGTCCATTTAATGTGAAAGTGACGACGTGGACCTTCAAATAGCCTCGGAGCAAACAAAGGACTACGATTTGTAGTGGGACTTCGATTCTTGTTGGCTTTCGAATGTGAGGCCAAGAGGGGAGTAACGTCGTTCGAGGTTTCTGACGATGGAGAAACACATTGGACCTTTAGCTACCGTGCATCGGCGTGACCTTGATGAAAACGACATGTCATGACTTTGCAGGGCAGCATAATACGTCACTCTCTCTAGTCTCTCTTCACGTTTCAAAAGGCTGATGCAATAGGAAGGATCTAGAGCTCTCTTGAGAATTTGTAACTGCAACAAGAATGTGCATGAGCACTCAATGCATCTGGGTTGTCCATCATTGTTACTGTTGCTTTAGTTGATTTACTTCTGTAAATCCTGAGATCCTTCTGATTTTAAGTACGTCCTTGTTTCTAATAGGACTCTTTGGCAAAGGTACCTGCAGCTTATTCGCCTGCAATTATCATCTCATAGCTAATTTTTCCGATTACCAGCCAAAAGTAAAAGAAGAAAGGAAAAAAAAAATCAGAACAAAATGATAAAAAAAACAAAAAATTATTAAAAATTATACACGTCAGCGCCGGTGATACCATGTAGGCTAGCTGGCATCCACATTAATAATATCTTATCAAAATTAGCCAAAATAATTAAATTGACATAAAGACAAAATATTTAGAATTCAATTGATATAAAAAAAAAGGTTTAACACAAAAAGGTTTAATACTAAATTGACACTAATGCACAAGATTTAAAACTTTTTTGACATTTTTCCCTAATCTATAGTATGACAACTACCGTAATGTGAGATCTAACCAAGAAGGTATTGTGCACAATCTTTGTATTAAGACATTGGTTCACTTTATTGATTTCTGAGTATTACATCACGATCGACTTTTCCTAGTATATACTCTAATACTCAAACCCTAGACAAGTGTTCCTCCCTTGACATATTCGGTGAAGGCCAGCGCGACCAGTCCCAACATCGCCAACCTTCCATTCCACATCTCGGCTTCGGAAGTCATCAACCCCTCCGACTTTGACTCGGCCGTGACTCCTTGAAACAGTGGAACAAGAGATGCCACCGAGAGCAGAATGCTCGTCCCTATGAACCACGAGATACCACCTTCGCTGATCTGAGCAAACAAGTCCTGGCCTTTGGATAGTTCAACCGCAATGGCCGCCACAAAGCCAATCATTGCGAGTCTGCCGTTGATCCTCTCTGGCGCTGGCCCGCTAAATGCAAACACATCTATGAAGTCGGTGCTCACCTGTCAACGTGCTCAACTTTAGTTCTCACAAGGAGTAGTTAAGTATTTGGTGAAACTGATTGACAGCCTTTAGTTGATTGAAGGACACATAACTAGTACATATCGTGCATGCACTATTCTATACACACAACACTTCTGTCGTAAACTTGTCATCCAATTAACTGGTCAAGTTTATGTGTTTTCAAACAGTTCGAGAGGACCTCTACTTGGCAAATAAAGTATTCATGTCACTAGAATAAGTGAATTTCTCACTTGATACGAAATTTTATCAGCAGAGTATCACCAGTTCAATTTCTTTGACAACACTTTTCATTAGGAAACTTCATCCTAAAGTTTAATTTCTCTAAGTAGATAAAAGCTACGTGCATAAGTAAAGCCTTCCCAAAACTCGCATTCATGTGCTAGGAGACTCTCAATCGTATATGTACCTTCGATTTCAATTTCGGGGATGGGTTCTGATCCAGCTTGCTCTCCTACAACATTCACCACGTACCAATGTTAATTCAATAAACTTCCCAATATCACATTGTCGACATTATAGGCAAGATCATTCGAAAATCTGCTACTTTACCTCAGTCATGCACCTCACAAGCAAGCTGCCTCGAGGAGCCAACCTAGGACTATGGTTGGCAGGGAAAAGTCCTCTCACAACAGATTTCCTGGAACTAACGTGGATCGCAGTCCTAGACCTCGCAGGGATCGAGTGCATCAAGATTGTTGAGGCCATGATCTTCAAGCAATGACCAAAAGTTTTGGGATAACTAGGAGAACAATACTAATCTCAAAGTGTGCAACTGAATCGACTCTGACTAGACTGTAGCGCTACTGTCTTGGACTGTAGAGTGAGTGATATGAAGCGGTATTTATATAATGTCGGGGGAAGAGAGAGAGAGACTAGTGGATGGTGTTGGTTCCACGTGATGCATGTTGCTGGAGGTTAAATGGTTTCACCTTGTCCGTTTAATGTGAAAGTGACGACGTGGACCTTCAAATAGCCCCTGAACAAACAATGGACAATGGTTTGTGGGACTACAGTTCTTCTTGGCTTTCGAACGTGAGGCCAAGAGAAGAGTAGCGTAGTTCGAGGTTTTTGAGTTTGGTAAAGAACCAATCGGAGCAGACGAGGACTTTCAAGTACCACCGTCCAATGGCGTGACCTTGATGAGGACAACAAGCCACGACTTTGCAGCTCAAGCACGACACGCCACTCTTCTAGTCTCTCTTCACGTTTCAAAGGCGCATTCACAAGGAAGGATCTAGAGCTCTCTCGAGAAATTGAGCTTCAAAAAGAATTCGGTTCATGAGCACTCAATGCATCTGGGTCGCTGGCTTTGACGAAGTTTACATGCGATCCACTTATGACCCGCTAGACCAGTGATCGAAATATGTGTCGAATTCAACTACTGTTGGGCAATATCTATCGGCTAGTGAGCTCATAACTCCATAACTTAAAGGTTCTAATTGAAAGCAGAATCCGCTGGATACGTTAATCAGCTCTAACTTGGGTTCGCTCAAAGTGGGTTTCCGATGATGAAGGCTTGAGCCTTTTATTGTGCGTCCCAATGGAAACTGAAGTCTCACACATCAGCACGGGTATGCCGTGACTGAAGCACCTTAATTTCTGTTAGGTCCCTGCAGATTTATCAACAAGTTTATCTATATATTTTTTATCTCTCTCCTTATGATAAAGGTATTGAGCTTTTATTGCTTACAGTGGCGGAATAAGTATTCTGATTTTGAAAAGCATTAACTACACTTGTATCTCAGACCCCACAATTTACATATTTTGGACAAATTTTGCTTCTGACCATCTCCTTGGAGAGGTTTTTACAGAGCATATTGATAAGCAATGCAGGAGCATGTTATGGCACCAAACTTGCCTCCAGGTGCTTTTTCTGACCTGCTTATTTGGTATTGAACATGCTACTAGAAGGATCAAGCAACACACTTTGTGTACCGGATATTACCTGTCTATGTGTGTGAAGCTATTCAAACCAACAAGTTATGATCCCCACGGTATTCTGCTCCATTAGCTGAACCTCACTGTTGCACAACTGATGAAATATTAGATCGGAATATAGCACAGGCAAAGCATCTCCACCTTAAAGAACATCTCAGCTTGTTGAAACCTAACTTTCAGGCATACACTACAGTTTCTACCACAAGAAGCTCGTAGAACGGAGGGACATAGATGTCTTTCACATCAATGATTTCATGATTTCTGAGGCTCCCCATGATGAGACCGAAATGTGGATATCGCGACCACTGACCTCGCGCTTTGACTACAATATTCTCCTTTACAGCAACTAGTGGAAATAACAAAGGGAAAGTGCATCCATTGAGCACATCCATGGTCAATGTTTTATTCACATTGTGCATTATCTTGCTGGGGTATATGCATATCTCCATGAATACTTGGCGAATGATTCTAACTGTCTTGAATCACTTACTTCATTCATGGCCACGACATCACAAATTTCTCTCATCTCGTCTTGGCTATGCTTAGGTCCACTGATCTAATATTGCCTTCATGGTTCTTGACTTTTCTGGTCCCTATATCATCGCAACTGAAAGTTATAGTTTGTTACAAACATTGAAACATCAACTGCCTGATTTGACATACCTATCCTCATTTTGCAAAAATCGACAACTAGTGGCATATTAACACTAAATCTACTATTATGTGACTCAATGCTTGCGTGAAATTGTTACCTGGTATCGGGATAATGTCATCCCCTTGATGCAGAAACCACACTAGGGCCAATTGAGGAGCGGTGCAACCATGCTTTGCAGCGAGGTCAACAAATTTTTGATACATGACTTTGTTCTTCTCTAAGTTCTCTCCAATAAATCTTGGATGCATAGCCTATCACATAACAATAGAAAATTAACATGGAAACTTATCTACCACTGATATATCACCAAGAAATCCGAAAATTTTGTTTCTAAGGCAATAAAATGTCGTCTGCGTAATCCCACTCTCCCTGTATGCTCTGATGCAATCCTCTCGCAAATTAAGAGGTTGGTTAGAGAAAGACTCAGTAGTTGTTTGAATGTCAAGAGAAAAGTGTCCTTACATAGGCATTAGATGTGCTGTAATTGGGGACTTCTAGTTTGGGTCTCTTAGTTGCTGTTTGTTGAGCTTGTAGCAGGATTGCTCGCCCCGCTTGCTGTCTTTTCTACTAATTAAGTCTGAATATCGAAAAAAAAATAATGTACCTGGTTTGGATAGTCACATAATTTGAATTCTCTTGCCAATAGACTACTGATCGATATCATCAAAATAAACTGCAAAAAACATACCAACTGGCTCTCCACGTGGCAAGCTCTCAACGACTGTCGTCCCAGCAAAGAACCCATGACCTAGAGGGCTATATGCAACAAGCCCTATGCCAAGTTCTCTGAAACTGCCACATTTCTTGATATCTTGAGGGGAGGGGGGGACAAACATCTTGAGGATAATAGGTGTAGACCTGACAATACTCCATTTGCACAGCTGTGGATGAATGGCATGAGTTCTCTTTATCGTAGCGAAGCTAGCTTCTGAAAAACCAATATACTTTATCTTTCCTTCCTCCACCAACTTATTGAGTTCTCCCACCTATCTTACCAATAGCAACTGATTTAGTTAAACCAAATTATCACATTGCGTGTCTTCATTCTAGTTGTTCATTCATCGCTGTCTGGGGTTTGTCATGGAAAAAGCTAATTTTGATGTCCCCCCTCCAGTGTCGCTGAGAAAGGGGGAAGCATGAATGCCTTCAAAGCTTACAAGGCTTGTGTGCCGATTGCATGGAGCCATAACTTGTACATAACCCTGGTTAGGGGCATTCCTGGAGCCAGAAGACTTCACCGGCATACATTGGACACGTTGCGGCTTCGCGAATGTAACCGAACTGTTATGAGAAGGAACACCCCTACAGTTAGGGGAATGTTGTAACAAGTACTGATTAGTCAGTTACTACATTTTGGTTTTGTTTATCAAAGTTATTTGCTTACTTGAAGAATCTATTACATGATTAGGTAAAGAGGCTGGTCTGGATTGAAACAGGAGATGATCAAAGCCCGTAAAGAAAAGGAGACAAAGCACCAAGCTTTACGTCCGCTATCTGCCTGCCCCAGATTGCAGTTCTTAAAAACAAACAATGTACTCTTAGGTCAGATCCTTCTCCAATGTTGTTTTATCGGACAATGCAGTTTCTAGATTTGTGTTTTTGGATAGAAATCCATCGGTTGTGATAGTTCCATCATGATTGAGCGGCTTTTTTGAAGATATACTTTGCTGTGAGTTATTTATCAATTGAATGCTACATATCCGATGGAAGATATTTCAATGGTTGATAGCACTTACGTTCTCCAGACAAGTTGTTGGCAAGTTGGTGAATTTCCAACATTTTACTTAGAAGGGGTAAATTTGAAGTTTGATCTAGTTTGGTTTGCAAAATCTGTTGCTTCGAGAATTTTTCTGATATCGTACTCATGTCCGATCTGAACTTGCTCAATTCATCTTTATAATTGCTGTTTTAGTTGACTTACTTCTGAAAAGTTTGAGATCCTTCTGTTTTAAGGATGTTCTTCATTCACCTTTCAATCATCTGGCTCTCATGGTCAACTCATTGGCAAAGGTGCTTATGGCTTAGCAGTTTGCAGTTACCATCTCAAAAATTAATCAAGGCCTAACTTTTTAGGATGTTTCCTTTACGGAAGGAGTTCTCCATGTTGATCAATCGATTGAGATATCTTTCGAGAGAATGATCTACAGAACGAGTACCGTAATTCGAACGTTGACCAAGAAGGCATTATGCACAATATTTGTGCTGAAATAATGGTTCACTGGATTACATTCTGGTCTACTTTTTCCAAGTATATGACCTTAATTCCAAAACCCTACACAAGTGTTCCTCCCTTAACATACTCTGTGAAAGCCAACGCGACCAGTCCCAACATCGCAAACCTTCCGTTCCACAACTCGGCATCGGAAGTCATCAACCCGCTGGACTTTGACTCAGCCGTGACTCCTTGAAAAAGCGGAATCAGAGATGCGACCGATAACAGAATACTCGTTCCTATGAACCACGGGATACCTCCATCACTGATCTGAGCAAACAAGTCCTGACCTTTGGACAGTTCAACTGCAATGGCTGCCACAAAGCCAATCATTGCCAGTCTGCCATTGATTCTCTCCGGCACCGGCCCGCTGAATGCAAACAGATCAGTGAAGTTGGTGCTCACCTGCTAATATGATCGGGCACCGTTAGTTTATGAAAGGAGTTATTTACGTGGTAATAATAATGGACCAATCTTTAGTAAATGTCAACGGACATGTCATTAGTAAATGGAGAGTATGCACTTCACGCCTACTCTGTCGCACATAAATCATTCAACCAACTTGTAAGCAGAGTATCACCAGTTCAATTTCTTTAACAACACTTACCATTAGAAAACTTCAATCCAAAAGGTTCAACTCTTCGAGTAGACAACGCAACGTGTACCGAGCTCGTATTCATGTGCTAGGGGACTCTTAAGCATAAATATACCTTTGCTTTTGGTTTCGGGGATGGGTTCAGTGTAGGCGACGAAGAAGGAATGTCGGAAGCTGGCATTTCCGTGCTACTTTCCGGCTTGGTCTCCTGCAATATTCACCACGCACCAATGTCCATTCAACTGACATCCCAATATCATATTACCAACGCAAAAATCCAGATCAATCGAAATCGGACTACTTTACCTCAGTCACACATTTTACGCGTAAGCCACCTCGGGGAGCCATGCTAGGAACATGGTTGGCAGGGAAAAGCCCTCTCACAACAGAGTTCCTGGAACTAATATCGATCGCGGTCCCAGGACTCGCAGTGATTGACCGCATCAGCATTGTTGAGGCCATGATCTTCGAACAATGACTAAAAGTTACGGGAATGCAAGAAGAACAGCACTCAAAAGAGTTGCAGTCGAACTGAATCTGACTAGATCAAAGCGCTACTGATTTGGGACTATGGGGTGAGTGGAATGAAGCCGTGTTTATATAGCACCAGGGAAGAGAGAGATGGAGACTGGGGGATGGTGTTGGTTCCACGTGATGCAAGTTTGTGGTGGGTTAAAATGGTTTCACCTTGTCCGTTTAATGTGAAAGTGACGACGTGGACCTTCAAATAGCCCCTGAACAAACAAAGGACTATGATTTGCGGTGGGACTTCGATTCTTGTTGGCTTTCGAATGTGAGGCCAAGAGGGTGGTAACGTCGTTCGAGGTTTTGTTCGACAGTGGGGAAACCCATGAGACCTGCAATTCAATTTCATTGGCGGAATATTCATGAAAACGACATGCCATGGTACGCCAGCCTTCCCCTTTCAAAGGGCTCGTTCACTAGGAAGGATCTAGAGCTCTCTTGAGAAATTTGTAAGTGCAACGAGAGCATTCAATGCATCCGGGCTATCCATAATTGTTACTGATGCATTAGTTGATTTACTTCTGAAAACCGTGAGATCCGTGTGATTTTAAGAAAGAAATTACCAAAAGAGTCATTAACCTATCGCATTTGTGCCGATTTAGTCTTACATATGTTACATTTGTGTCAATTTAGTCTTAAACCTCTTAATTGTGCCAATTTAGTCATAAACCTTTTAACGATTTGTCAATTTAGTCATTCCGTCCAATTTTGGCCGGAAATCGCTTAAGTGGCGGTTTAATTAGCACCAGCCGTCCTTTGTGAAACTGGCGGTACTAAAATTAAAAAAAAATTAAAATTTTTCTGAATTTATTATTATTATTATTTTCTTTTTTCTTTCCTTTTTATCTAACCCTGGGCCGGCGAGGGCCGTGATGCCCTCACTTGGTTTGCGTAAGAACCTCCACATCCTTGCGCTGATCTAGGCGAGGGCCACGACTCTTGCCCATTGGTCGGTGAGAGCGTCGCAGCCCTCACCGACCTAGGGTTAGGAAATAAAAGAAAATAAAAAAAAGAGAAGACGAAAAAAAAGAAAACTAAAAAATTCAAGAAAATTTTAAAAAATTGTCCACATTAACATTGACCGTCGTCAGGACTGCCATTGCTAATTAAACCACCACATCAGCAATTTCGCTCAAAATTGGCAGAAGGACTAAATTGGTAATTCGTCAAAAGGTTGAGGACTAAATTGAAAAAATTTAAAGGTTTATGAGTGAATTGAAACAAGTACAATAGATTTATGATGTTTTTGGTAATTTGAGTCTCCTCGTCAACTCTTTGGCAAAGGTGCCTCGGCTTATTTAGTCTGCAACTACCATCTCATAGATTAATCGATGCTTCTTTATTTCCGCTTCACACAAATCGATCTTTCCTCTAACGGAAGGAATTTTCTTCAAAGTATACTCCATGTTAAATAATACATTGAAATATCCTTTGGGAGAATGAGCTATAGGGTTACTACTACTGTAATTTGACACCTAACCAAGAAAGGCATTGTGCCCAACATTTGTATCAAGACAGTGGTTCACTTTATTGGCTCCTGAGGATTACATTTTGATCTACTTTTACAAGTATGTATACTCTAATTCCAAAACCCTACACAAGTGTTCCTCCCTTAACATATTCGGTGAAGGCCAGCGCGACCAGTCCCAACATCGCCAACCTTCTGTTCCACAACTCGGCATCGGAAGTCATCAACCCGTCTGACTTTGACTCGGCCGTGACTCCTTGAAACAGCGGAACAAGAGATTCGATCAAGAGCAGCATGCTCGTCCCTATGAGCCACAGGATGCCACCTTCACTAATCTGAGCGAGCAAGTCCTGGCCTTTGGACAGTTCAACCGCAATGGCTGCCAAAAAGCCGATCATTGCGAGTCTACCATTGATCCTCTCTGGCGCTGGCCCGCTGAATGCGAACACATCTGTGAAGTTGGTGCTCACCTGTCAACACAATCAACGTTAGTTTACACAAGGAGTGGTTATGTATTTGATGAAATTGATTGACCAATCTTTAATCAATGTAGAAGCATATATAACTAGTACATATCGTGTCTGCACTATTCTTTACACACATCACCTCTGTCCCACAATGTCAATCAACTAACTTGTCAAGTCTATGTGGTTGAAACAGTTACAAGAGGATATATAATTTGTCAACGAAGTAATCAGGTCACTAGAACGACTGACTATCTCACTTGATACGAAATTTAATCGGCAGAGTATCACCAGTTCAATTTCTCTGACTGCACTTATCATTAGGAAATTTCAATCCTAAAGTTTAATCTTTAAATAGAAAAAGTGACATTCTTTAGTAAGGCCTTCCCAGAACTTGTATCCATTTGCTAGGAGACTCTCAAGCATAAATATACCTTGAATTTCGATTTCGGGGATGGGTTCAGATCCTACTTGCTCTCCTGCAATATTCAACACGTGCCAATGTTAATTCAGTAACTTCCCATTATCAAATTGTCGACATTATAGGCAAGATGAACCGAAATTCTGCTACTTTACTTCAATCATACACTTCACACGCAAGCCAACTTGGGGAGCCAACCTAGGACTATGGTTGGCAGAAAAAAGTCCTCTCACGACAGATTTCCTGGAACTAATGTCGATCGCGGTCCTAAGACTCGCAGGGATCTAGTGCATCAGGATTGTTGAGGCCATGATCTTGAAAAAATGACCAGAAGTTTTGGGAAAACTAATAGAACAGTACTCAAGAGAGAGAGAATGGTGGATGCTGTTGGTTCCACGTGACGCTTGTTTGTGGGGTTAAAATGGTTTTACCTTGTCCGTTTAATGTGAAAGTGACGACGTGGACCTTCGAATTAGCCCCTGAACAAACAACGGACAATGGTTTGTGGGACTTCAGTTCTTGTTGGCTTTCCAATGTGAGGCCAAGGGTGGAGTAACGTAGTTCGAGGTTATCGACGGTGGAGAAACACTTGGACCTTTCAACTACCGTGCATCAGGGCCGTCCAATGATGGGATTTAGGTTAAATCGAAAATAGTCCAACCAAAATTGACTCATTTATATGCCAAATTTAGTGACTCATACCCGACCCAGTTTAGTTACTAAAATACTTCAATATTAAATCCAACCTATGAAATCTATATGCACCTAGTTAACCCATTTTAAGCTCTTCATCTGTATATGTTATTTGGATAAAATCGTTATTTCAACAGTAAGATACTAAAGAATCGGCTTTCAACATTGCATAGAATTTTCAATTTTTGTATTGACTCACAATAAATAAATAAAAAAGAGAATGTTAGTACTTAGTTTGAATATACAAATATACAGCAACCAATAACGTGGAGGTATTGAAATTTTAATTAAATGAAATGTAAGATATTGAAGAAGATGATTTATACTGACTATGGATTGCAATGAGACTAAGATTATAATATTACATAAAAATATCAATTCCAAATGCAACTAAGGAAAGATATACTCTAACAACTAACGAACGAAACTTACAAGATTAACTAAAATAAAAAACAATGTGGAATAAAAGAGGCCGTCTTGATATTTTAGTAAGGGCGAAGTAGGGCCCATCAAGACTTCTCTAAACTTGATATAGTCCGAGAAGTCTATCATTTTATCATAGAGGGTGAAGAACGAGACATAAAAGTGGGTTGGGTTTGGGTTCGAACCAATTAAACACCCATATTTATTTGGGTTTTATCATACTAAACTCATATATAATGCATCTACTGAACATAATTAATTCGTATAATTATTCAACCCATCAAATATGGAATATTGAATAGGTTTACTGTGCATCGGCATGACTTGAACAAAATCGACATGCCACGACTTTGAAGGTCAAGCATGACAGGCCAGTCTTTTCTAGTCTCTCTTCACATTTTAAAGGCATATTCACTGCGAAGGATCCAGAGCACACTCCTGAGAATTTGAACTGCAACAAAGAATTCAGAGCATGAGCACTCGATGCATACGGGTTGTCCATCATTTTAGTCATCTGGGTCTCGTCGTCAACTCATTGGTAAAGGCGCCTGCGGCTTATTAGTTTACGATTACCATCTCGTAAATTCATCGATGCTTCTTTACTTCCGCTTCATACGAAAAGATGTTTCTACTTACGAAAGGAGTTTTCTTAAATTTATGCTCCACGTTGAATAATACATTGTAATATCCTTTGAGAGAATGATCTGCAGTATGACAACTACTGTAATGTGAAATCTAACCAAGAAGGTATTGTGCACAATATTTGTATTAAGACCATGGTGCACTTTATTGGCTTCTGAGGATTACATTCTGATTTACTTTTCCAAGTACATGCTCTAATTCCGAAACCCTACACAAGTGTTCCTCCCTTGACGTATTCAGTGAAGGCCAGCGCGACCAGTCCCAACATCGCCAACCTTCCATTCCACAACTCGGCATCGGAAGTCATCAACCCGTCTGACTTTGACTCGGCCGTGACTCCTTGAAATAGCGGAACAAGAGATGCGACCGAGAGCAGAATGCTCGTCCCTATGAACCACGGGATGCCACCTTCACTGATCTGAGCGAACAAGTCCTGGCCTTTGGATAGTTCAACCGCAATGGTCGCCACAAAGCCAATCATTGCGAGTCTCCCATTGATCCTCTCAGGCGCCGCCCCGCTAAATGCAAACACATCTGTGAAGTTGGTGCTCACCTGTCATCATGATCAACTTAGTTTACGCAAGGAGTAGTAATATATTTGGTGAAATCGATTGACCAATCTTTAGTCAATGTAGAAGGACATAAAACTAGTACATATCGTGTATGTACTATTCTTTACACACACCACCTCTGTGGCACACTCGTTATCCAACTAACTTGTCAGGTCTATGTGTTTGAAACAGTTACAAGAGGACCTATAATTTGCCAAGGAAGCAATCATGTCTCTAGAACGACCGACGATCTCACTTGATATGAAATTCAATCAGAAGAGTATCACCGGTTCAACTTCTCTGACAACAATTATCATTAGGAAACTTCAATCCTAAATTCAATCAGCGGAGAATCACCAAATCAATTTCTCTTACAGCACTTGTCATTGGGAAACTTCAATCATAAAGTTTGAGCTCTTTAAGTAGAAAAAGCGACAGATCATAAGTAAGGCCTTCCCAAAACTCATATTCATGTGCTAGAAGACTCTCAAGCACAAATATACCTTTGATTTCGATTTCGCAGATGGGTTCGAACCTGGCTTCCTCTCCTGCAATATTCACCACATACCAATGTTAATTCAAGTAACTTCCCAATATCAGATTGTTGAAGTAATAAGCAAGATCAATCGAAATTCTGCTACTTTACCTCAGTCATACACTTCACGCGCAAAGCAACTCGGGGAGCCAACCTAGGACTATGGTTGGCAGGGAAAAGTCCTCTCACGACAGATTTCCTGGGACTAATGTCAATCGCGGTCCTAGGACTCGCAGGGATCGAGTGCATCAGGATTGTTGAGGCCATGATCTTGAAAAAATGACCAGAGTTTTGGGAAAACTAGTAGAACAATACTCAAAGTATCCAATCGAATCGAATGTGACTAGACTGAAGTGCTACTGTCTTGAACTACAAAGTGAGTGATATGAAGCGATATTTATATAGTGCCGGAGAGAGAGAGAGAGAGAGAGATTGGTGGATGGTGTTGGTTCCACGGGATGCATGTTTGTGGGGGTTAAATTGGTTTCACCTTGTCCGTTTAATGTAAAAGTGACGACGTGGACCTTCGAGTAGCCCTGCACAAACAACGGACAATAATTTGTAGGACTTCAGCTCTGGTTGGCTTTCTAATGTGAGGTCAAGAGGGGAGGAACGTAGTTGGAGGTTTTCGACGGTGGAGAAACACATTGGACCTTCAACTACGGTGCATCAGCGTGACCTTGATGCAAACGACATGCCACGACTTGGAAGCTCAAGCATGACACGCCTCTCTTTTGTTCTCGCTTCACATTCACTAGGAAGGATCTGGAGCTCTCGAGAATTCGACCTGCAACAAGAATTCACTCGATGCATCTGGGTCGCGGGATATGATGAGTTTTACATGCGATCCACTTATGACCCGTTAGACCGGTGGCCGGATGATGCATTCAAGGTGGGGCAATGTCTATCAACACAAAACTACGAGCGTGTTACGAAAGTAGAAGGCATCCCAATTATTTGGCGAGCTCATAACTCCATAACCTAAGGTTCTAAGGGAAGCCAGAATCGGCTAGATACGTTAATGAGCTCTAACTTGGTTCTGCTCAAGTGGATTTCCGATGATTAAGGAATGACACTTCTGTAGCGCATCTCGATCAGAAATGAAGTCTCGCACAGTATCACCGATTTATGTGATTGAGGCACCTAGTGTCTGTTAGGTCCCTTTAGATTTGTTGACCAGTTTAAATATAAATTTGACCTCTCTACTTACGATAAAGGTATCGATCTTTTGTTGCTTACGCCGTTCTCACTAGGAGGAATAAGGATTCCGATTTTGAAAAGCATTAACTACACGTATCAAAACTAATTATCAATCTCAATCCCTACATTTACATATTTCAGACAGATTTTGATTCTAACAATATTTTATTGGAGAATTTGGTATAAATTATAAGCAATGCAGAAGCATGGTATAGCAACGAACTTACCTATAAACTAGGGGAGAGTACTCCACATTTGATAACATATCAGGTATTCTTTCTGACCCGCTCCGCCTGGTATCAAACATGCTTATCATTAGAGGGATCAAGTAGAGTTGTAAGAAGAACGGTTCGAAACAATTTGCCAAAGCACTTCAAGAAAAATTTTCAGCTAAGGAACGCATTGCTCTCTATAGGATGGAACGATTTTGAGTGTAGGAACGCATTGCTCATTCATCGATGTCCACAGAAAGATTAACCGGTGTCTCTAAGCAATATTCTTCGTGCACCAAGTATCATCTGTCTGTGTGTGAGAAGTTCTTCGAACAAACAACTTATGATCCCTATGGTATCGTGCTCCATTAGCTGAACCTCACCGTTCCACAACCGATGAAATATCACATCGGATTATAGCACAGGCAGAGCATCTCCACCTTAAAACAGAACACCTCTGCTTGTCGAATCCCAACATTGAGGCATACACTACAGTTTCTATCACAACAAGCTGGCAGAACGGAGGGACCTAGGGTGCGTATGGTAACGTTTCTATTTCTGGGAACAATTTCTTTTCAGAAATAGTTTTTTCTATTTCTATTTCCTGGAAGAGTTTCTGAACAAAATAATGCGTTTGGTAACTGCACAAAATTTTTATTTCTAGAACAGAAATGTGTTTGGTAACTGCACAAAATTTCTATTCCTGGAATAGAAAAAGAACAGAAATGCGCTTGGTAACTGTATAAAATTTCTATTCCCAATTTTTTGCATTCAAATCTATATCTTTTATTTAACTATAAGTACAAGTTATAAGTGAAAAAAATCAATAAGCATAATTTATTGGTTTGTCTAATCCTTTTTAAGGGTTTAAAACCCCTTTTAATCCCTAAACTAAGGAATCTTCAAAAATACCACTTGGGCACCTCAAAAATTTAAATTCCACTCAAAGTGGGTGGCCACAGGTATTCTAAGCCATTATGTGAATTTTTTATATTTTTTTGGGGTAAAATTTATTAAAATTATTTACTTTCCCTAAATCTGTTTCTTTTTATTTTTCCAAAAAAAATTTATGAAATTTTTTCAATTTTTTCAATTTCGGAATTTTGCAAATATTTAAGGGTTTTCTGAGTTTTTCTGATTTATATGAATTTTGGGAATTTTTTAATTTTCTAATTTTTTATGGGATTTTTTTGAAATTTTTCTAATTTTTATGAATTTTCGGAATTTTTTAATTTATTCTAAGCCATTATGTGAATTTTTTATTTTTGTTTTTTTTGGGGAAAAGTTTATTAAAACTTTTTACTTTCCCAAAATTTGTCTTTTTTTATTTTCCAGAATGCTTTTTATGAATTTTTTTTAATTTTTTTAATTTCGGAATTTTGCAATTTTTTATGGGTTTTTTGAGTTTTTCTGATTTTTATGCATTTTCTGAGAATTTTTCTGATTTTTATGAATTTTTGGAATTTTTAATTTTTTATAATTTAATTAATTTTTTATAATTTTTTTATTATTTCCGCCGAGAATGGACCGGACCGGTGCTTTGAGACGGTTTGCAGACGACGGAGGATGGAGGAGGAGCTGAGGTCGCAGCTTGAGGGCCGGACCTTTCTATTTCTATTTCTATTTCTAGGAACAAAGAAGTAGATTTTTTTTACTTCTTATTTCTGTTCCAAATCTATTTCTTGGCCACTTTTCTATTCCAGGAAATAGAAAAATAAAATGCGTTACCAAACGGATTTCTGTTCTTTTTTTGTTCCAAGGAACAGAAGAACAGAAAAATAGAGAAACAGAAGCGTTACCAAACGCGCCCCTAATGTCTTTCCCATCACTGATTCTCATGATTTCTCCGGCTCCCCATGATGAGACCACAATGTGAATATCACGACCACCGACCTCGAGCTTTGACTGCAGTATTCTCCTTTACAACAACTAGTGGAAATAACGAGGGAGAAATGCCTTCATCGAGCAAATCCATGGTCAATCTTTCATTTATGTCGCGCATTATCTTGATGGGGTATTTGCATATCCCCATGAATACTTGGCGAATGATTCTAACTGTCTTGGACCACTTACTTCATTCACGGCAACGACGTCACAAATTTCTCTCTTCTCGTCTTGGCTAAGCTCAAGTGCCACTGATCTAATATTGTCTTCAAGGTTCTCAACTTTCTGGTCCCTATATCATCGCAACTGAAAGCTTGTTATAAACATTGCAAAATCAACAACTGCCTGATTGACATACCTCTCCTCATTTTCCGTAAATCGACGGGTAGTGGCATAGTAACACTAAATCTACTATTATGTGACTCAATGTTTGCCCGAAATTGTTACCTAGTATCGGGATAACGTCATCCCCGTGATGAAGAAGCCACGCTTGGGCCAGTTGAGGAGCTGTGCAACCATGCTTTGCAGCGAGGTCAACAAATTTTCGATATATAACTTTGTTCTTCTCTAAGTTCTCTCCAGTGAATCTTGGATGCATAGCCTATCACATAACAATAGAGAATTAACATTGAAACATATCTACCACTGATATATCACCAAGAAATTCGAAAATTTTGTTTTCAAGGCAATAAACTGTCGTCCCCATAATCACACTCTCTCTGTATGCTCTGATTTTATCCTCTTGCAAATTAAGAGGTTGATTAGAGAAAGACTTAGTAGTTGTTTGAATGTGAAGGGAAAAGTGTCCTTCGGTAGGCACTAGAAGTTGTGCTGTAAATGGGGACTTCTAGTTTGGGTCTCTTAGTTACTGTCTGTTGAGCTTGTAGCAGGATCGCTCACCCTGCTTTCTGTTGTTGATGCTAATAAATTCTGAATACCAACGAAAAGTAATTTACAAAGTTTGGATGGTCACATCATCTTGATTCTCCTGCCAATGGACTAATGATCGATATCACCAGAATAAATTGGTATAAATCATCTTGATAAGCAATGCAGAAGCATGGTATAGCAAAGAACTAGCCTACAAACTAGGGAAAGTACTCCACAATTGATAACATCAGGTATTTTTCCTGACCTGTTCATTTGGTGACGAACATGCTTAGCATTAGAATGATCAAGTTGGGTTGTTTGAAAGAACAGTTCGGGACTATTTGCCAAAGCACTTCAATAAACATTTTCAGCAAAAGGAACATTTTTCTTGGTCTTTATTTGTTGCTCTTTATAAGATGGAACCATTTCGAGTGTAGCAGATGTTAACAAATGTCCAGAGACAGATTAATGGGCATCTCTAAGCAACATTCTCCTTGCACCGAATATTTATCTGTCTATGTGTGAGAAGCTATTCGGATCAACAAGGTATGACCATGTCGTGCTCCATTAGTTGACCCTCACTGTTGCAAATATTAGGTCAGAATAAAGCACAGGCAAAGCATCTCCACCTTAAAACAGAACACCTTTGCTTGTTGAATCCCAACATTCAGGCATACACTACAGTTTCTTCCACAAGAAGCTCGAAGACTACATCAATTATTCTCATGATTTTTAAGGCTCCTTATGATAAGACCGAAATACGGATATCACGGCCACCCATCTCACACTTACACTACAATATTCTCCCCGCTACAAATAGCAGAAATAACAAGGGAGTAACGCCTCCATCGAGCAAACCCATGGTCAATCTTTTATCCATACCGCACATTATCTTGCTGGGGTATTTGCATATCTCCATGTATACTTGGCAGCTATTTCCATCTCTCTTTCACCACTTACTTTAGTCGTGGCCATGACATCAGAGATTTCTCTCATCTCGTCTTCGCTAAGCTTAATTGCCACTGATCCAACATTGTCTTCAAGGTTCTCGGCTTTTCTGGTCCCTATATATCATCACAACTGAAAGTTAAAATTTTGTGATAAACATGTAAAAAACAAGAACTGCCTGATTTGATATACCTCTCCTATTTTTGCAAAAATCAACGGCTAATGCCATAGTACTATGTGACCCGATGTTTGCCCGAAATTGTTACCTGGTATTGGGATAACGTCATCCCCCTGATGAAGAAG